TCAGGAAGTGGTATCTTCACTTTCTTTGGAAGAAAGCTTGCAGTACGAAGTGCTAAAGAGTCGATATTGCGTGCTTATGAGCTTGTGCCGGAGGCCTACAGACAAAGGTTCAGACACCATAAAAAGTCTGCTACGCAGACATTTGTTGATTTTGCGCGAGAGAAGGGCATTCTCTTTGATAAATGGTGTGCGGCTAATGAAGTGAAGGATCATTTTGAGAGTCTTCGTCAGTTACTTCTCTTGGAAGATTTTAAGAATTCTTTGCCTGAAAGGATGGTGATATTCTTAAATGAACAAAAGGTCACTTCACTGGCTAAAGCAGCTGTTTTAGCGGATGAATTTATGCTCACTCACAAGACTGTTTTCTTCACCCTTGCGCTCAGATAGATCATCAATATCACAAACCGGAAGACCTGATCTTGGCCCAACAACTTTTGAAAGGTCTAGAGGACCACCATCACCTCCACGGGGGACCGTGAGTCTAACTACTGCCATAAAACAGGACACCTTATTTCAGGGTGTCATTTCTTAAAGCGTAAGCAACAATTTTCGCAACGCTTTCAGACGCCAAAAGGAATGGGACTCATTAAAGGAGTTTCCCTATCAGACATAGAAATGTCCCTGGAAGATGATGTACCTGATCACTGTTTCAAACCCTTTATTTCCAAGGGCTTTGTTTCTTTAACAGGGGATCCTAAAGACCAGCTGCCAGTACAGGTACTTAGGGACACAGGAGGTTCTCAGTCCATTATTAGAGAAGGCATCTTACCTTTAACCTCCAGATCATCATGTGGATCAAGTGCTGTTGTTCAAGGGGTAGGCATGACACTAGTTGCGGCTCCTTTGCACAATGTTTATATTCACTCATCTCTTGTCAAAGGATTCTTTAAAGTAGCTGTCCTCCCTGCCTTGCCCATCAACGGTGTTGATTTCATCCTCAGTAATGACTTGGCTGGGGGCAAAGTTAAGCCAGTACCTGAGGTCATTGATTCTCCTGATCTAAGTTTAGACGCAGAGAAATCAGCTGAAGTATCTCCTGAAATCTTTCCTGCTTGTGTTGTTACAAGGGCCCAGTCAAAGAAATATGGAGAAGACTTGTCTGATTCTTTTCTTGCTACAGGGCAGTTTCTTGAAGACGTGACTGTGTCGGACCGACTGCCAGAGGAGGCCCGGTCTGCTGGTGCTGGATCACCCAGTAACAGCTCAGAGCTTGTACAACTGCCTGCCACTCGGGAAGAATTCATGGCAGCCCAGTTAAATGATGAAACAATTTCTAAATGTCTCTCTTCTGTTATCAGTCAGGAAGAGGCCAAGTCAAAGAAGATGGCCTACATCAGGGGTGGCCAACCAGTCAGAGGTTAAGAGCCACATGTTTTCTATGTTACTGCAAGGAGCCACATCAAACACACAGTCACTGATACCGCTTGTTTCAGTTTTTTGTTTTCTGGAGACAAGATTTCAACCACGTCACTGATTCATTTTTGTGGCATTGGGATATATTTTTAAAATCCTCTGGAGCAGAGAGAGGAGCTGTGTATTATTGTTATTGATTAATGCATCAGTGTTTCTTAGGGTCAAAAACACTAAACCCACAAATTAAAATGAAAGCGTTTAGTTTATTTAATAAAAGAGCACATGTTCAATGTGAAAAGTGACAGTAGTTATAGATTATTTGCAATTTGATGCTATATATATTTTAAAAAAGTATATATATAACACCTTGAATTTCAGGGGGGGCGCGGGGCTCCGTTGGCGGCTCGCAGTGCCCCTCCAAGACAATGGTAGGGGAAACACTGAATAGTGTTTAATCAACAATAGGTTTCCCCCCTCAAAGGTGATTGGTTCACTGCATTGCAGGTATTATTGTGATTGGCTGTTGGGCCACATCAAAATTAGACGCGCTGTCATCCTCTCATACTGACACATGACACCACACATACACACGTAGGGAGAGCCGGGACGAAAGTAACACGGGACCAAAGTAACGGAGCGATTTTATCCGAGCCCAAACAACTTTGACCGGCCAAATTACGTCAGAATGATCAGCATTCAATACTTAACAGACCTACTAAATATCAGGTTTAACTGTCAGTGTTGTCACGATACCAACATTTTGGTTTCGATACCAAGTCAAGAATTGCGATTCCGATTATTTTTCTTAAAAAACGGGAAACAGTCTTAAATGTAATTATTGTGCTTTATGTCACACCAGAATCATAACCATAACACAAACTTTTAAACAATGAGAACAGTAAATACAATAAATGACAAGAATTCGTATTAAATAAAATTAATACATTTCTTACAGACAGGCCTCGTGGTGTCCGTAGGCTTGCCCTCACTGTCAGAGATATAGCTCAAATACTTCCAAATTTAGCTTCTGGCATATTTTTTGTCAACAAGCCGAGGCGCAGCGGCAGTTGCACTCCCACTTGCAGCCATGCTTCTCGTTTTCTCACATGCTCTGGCAGCTAGCGCGTGCATGAGAGAGGGGAGGGATTTAGAGCGTGCTTGAGAGGGAGGGACTGCAGGCACGGCTGCAGTGCAGGGAGTGGAAGCAGAGCGCTGAACACACACGGCTCTTATTAAAACAGCGCTTTCTCACCGGAGTACTTTCCCCCGTCATTCTTAAAGTACCGATACTAATGAAACGGAGGAATCGTAACGATTTTAACGACAGGGTATCGCGGTATACCTTTCAAGTATCGGTACACCGTGCAACACTAGTCAGGAGTCAGTGTCTCTCCCCCAAACTCACACATATACAATTCGATATGAACTGAAGAGCCGCATGAAACTAGGCAAAGAGCCGCATGCGGCTCGAGAGCCGCGGGTTGGCCACCCCTGGCCTACATTATGGAAGATGGCCTATTAATGCGTTGCTGGATTAGTGATGCCTGTGAGGAGTCAGACTCCTTTGCACTTTATCAGGTTGTTGTGCCAACAGCCTATCGTTCTCAGGTGATGTCCTTGGCTCATGATCATCCGTGGTCAGGTCACATGGGGGTAACAAAAACCCTCACTAACTAAACTACGAAGAAGTTGACAAAACAATATACAGGGGTGGCAACAATCCGCTAACCTAGTGTGTCTAAACATTAGTTAGCTACGTGGTGAGAAATGTACAGGGTACCCCAGACTTAACTAACTCCTCCACCTCTCAACACACACACTTTCAAAAAGGTCAGACAATACCAGGAGCATGAGTTGCTAAACACTGCAGTCAATTGCAGGTTCCTCAATCATCAACAGGCCCAGAGTGAGAGAGCGAGAAGACTTCCTGGGTGCCTCCTTTATGGTCGGCCCTGGCTGCTGATAGGCCAGCTGAGGGGGAGAGGATCCAATCAGCCATCAGACTCAGGTGCACAGGCAGATACCGATCAGCTGCTGATTAGCTGTGCAGAAGACAGGGAGAAGAGAGAAACACAGGAGGGAAGGAAAACCACACAAGTACAGCCTGCCTGGCACGTAACATGGAGGAACAGCATTTTGTCCAACTACGTTGTGCTACGTTACAGAGGAGTGTGAGATAGGGGCCAGGGTCAGCACATTAGAAACAAATAGTGCCGCAGTATGATAGTGACAGAGATAATATGCTCTGTGTAGCGCACATCATACAGAGGGGAATCACAGCGGCTCTCTGTGACAGAGGCCATGTCCATGCTTTAGCTTATTGTCGGACTTCAGGCCAATCATTTGGTTGTAATCAAAATCATGTTATAGTAATGTAAAAAAAACCTCTCTGATGTCTTCTGAGTCATGGGTACATTGTGGTTATCCACAATGTGCCCATAACTCAGGTCAGCTCCTATAAATACCTGAGACTCCACAGTGATAGTGCACCAAGCTGTAAGGGTCTAAGTTGAAAGTGTCTGAACCAGACTTCAACAGCAGCTTTATTTTTTACGCAGACTTAGGGCCTACGGAGTAGAGCAAAAGTTTATGCTTTTATTCTGCCACCCAGAGCTCCAGCTATTACCTTCCCGTAGGAAATTCAAGGTTCCTAAAAGCAGGCTAAACCGTTACAAACACTCATTCCTACCAACATCCATTAAGCTTCTCAACAGACAGACATAATGTATAGTTTTAATGTTGGCCATGGGGTTTGTGCAATAGGGCGTCAGTGTCAGTATGTTGTCTATGTATACTTTAATGTGCTATCTGTTGTTGGAGCACCACCCAATTGCGGTGGTGGAAGGTTCACCTCTAATTCCTACCACCGTGTGATATACGTACCACGACAGCCAGTCAGGAAAAGAGCGCCGAGCATGAGAATATCATAATATTTATACACGCAAGTGGGGAGGAGTTGTGTGGTTGCTCCTCCCTAGCTATTTGTTATTGGCGATTTCACTTCTGGGCGAGCCCTAGACCGTGAGCTGGTAGGTCTCCATTGGCCAGTTTCACTTCTGGGCGGGACCAATACAGCGAATCAGAGTTCTGGGAAAAAGTATTTTACTTCTGAACAGAGCGTGAGAGCTTCGGAAGTAAACAAGGACAGAGTCAATCTTTATCTTGCACCTGAATTCACTCCTTTACTTTCCCAAGGAATATTTCACACAAACTATTCTTTCCCAGACAATCAAACATTGTACACAGATATATTGGTGCTTGAGATTATATTGGCCCCAGAAAGAACCTTGAAAATAATATGTGTGTGTGCTGGTATCTGGGTCAGTAAGTGTAAGTGAGAAGGTTATATATATATATATATAGGATTACAGTAAAACAGTCCCAAATAATACATGTTCACTTCAATACAGTTTAAAATAATACATGTTTACTTTAATACAGTTTAGAACAATATCTGTTTACTTTACTGTGTACATGTAGTGTAAGTCATGTGTGAATATGCTGCAAATGTCCTTACAAGGACAATAAAGTGTATCATATTGTATCTCTCACCAGTCAATTCAATTATTTAAAACTTGTGACATTGATCATTATTGTGAATAACGGGATTATTTTGTTCTTTACAAAAATGTTGTGTTTTCTTTCAGGGAAGAGGCTGGGTTACACATTTGACAACAAGAACTTCCACAATGTGTCCCTGGGTCAGGGGTAGGAGGTGGTGGCTGAGCAGGCCCTCCACCTGGCAGCTAGGAGCAGCCACTGGGTCATATTACAGGTATGAACACACACATACAGGCACACACACTAATACCCCCATACCCAGTATAGCAAAGACAAGCAGTTGTTTAATTACTTTTGCATAAAAATCACGCTCAAAAGGCCTTGTCCCCCCCGGCAACAAACCTCCAACTCACTTTATCATCATCATCATCATCATGATCTGTCTGTCTGTCTGTCTGTCCACCCTGTGTAGATAAAATGGTGTCCGTCCTGTTTACCTGCAGTGTTTTCTCCTAATTTCTAATTTCACTCTCCTGCTGCCTGCCTGGCTCTTTGAGGGGGGGCTGGGTCAGTCGGCAGGTTCCCCCCTGCTGACAGGCCATTATTCTGCAGAACAGCAGCTGCTCAGATGGGCTTTGGAGACAGTGATGCAGAAACTTTGAAGCAGCGAGTTGGGGGAGGGGGACGTAGAGACAATCAATCAGCGGATTGGAGTTAAAGGTCCTAACGTGGCCCGCCTTGGGACTGCAGTGGACTGCATCTCCGTTGAGGGCACGTGAGATTGTGTAATCATTAGCTCCTGCACCTGGCAATATATGAATATGTGTTGAGTTATCCTTGAATAAAATCTGATCATGTAACGTATAGGGTGTACATTTTCATTGGTGACACCTTTGTTAAGTTTGATTTAACATTTAAGAACTTGAATTACCAATTTGCTATAAGAGACCTGGCAGGCAACACTAAACAAATATGAAACATTTTAACTCAGAAAGGGAAGTTGTCAAAATCCTGTGACATAAATGTATGTTTTTTGTGATGGGATGTCTCTTACAATGATCCTCATCATCTGAACATCTGTCATCTGAGTGCACCCACAGTCACACCCCCCCTCAAACTCTCCCCCTCTAATTTTTCTTTCTTATTTCATTCCCTCATATCATTGAAATGAGCAAAAGGCTTGAGGAAAGTTAATTTCAGTCGTATAGATCCGGTTTTTTTTGTGCAGCATATTTCTGTATTTGATTGTGTTTTCTACTTCAACCACTTTACCATTCATAGAAAACAGACAGCCAACATCAGAATACATTTCCCATGGCTAGAATGAAATATGATTTGAACGTATAGCGGAGAGCTAGCGGACAAGGGAAAATAAAAGCCTTCACAGCCTACAACAGTCCCTCAGTGCTGGTGGCTGCGTGTGCATCAGTGTGCCTCTCACCGCAGGGTGCTGGGGCCCAGCTGTGCAGTGCTCCTCAGTGCTGCTGCTGGATGAATGTGTGTGGAAGAGAAATGCTGTGTGTGTGATCTGCATGTGTTTCTATCTGCTCTTTAGGAGCCAGCATGTGTGTGCATAAAATACAGTTTGACGTGCCATTGTGCTTTCTTTCCCTCAGGTTGTGTGTGATAGTAATGCATCAAAGACCTTGCCAGTGGTGTCTTCTAATGGGTTTTAGATTCAACTTTTATATTACTATGTAAATATGAGACTCTTTTTGATGTAGTGTCAGCTCAGTCATCAGAGGGCTGGAAGGCCCCTATCATGAGGCGTTGAGGGAACACAAATGTTGCACCTGGAACTTAATTAAAAAGCCATAAAATAAAACAGCTGCTCCTCTGTCTTGTTTGTCTTTGTCAACCCGCTGGTTTCTCTCCCTCGCATTCTCGAACCCTCCCCTCTGTTGTCCCCCTCACAGCCAGAGGATGAATGGTTTCATTACAGTTTGGAAACAGTCTCTGAATTCTCTGTTGCCTCTCTTTATTGCCAAACGATTTACATGCCAAGAGGAATGGTTGATGTAAAACCGCTTGAATTTAGACTTTTAATTTTTTAATTTTAGACCGGTAGCTCGCGGGCAGCTTTTCAGTAGCTCGCCGCTCGATTATCGATTATAACGTAGTAAGGTTGCTTCTTGATTTTTCGGCCGCGGCCGGACAATAACTTTTTTTTATTTTAGAATTGTTTCTGTCACACATATTAAATTGGTCCGTGACGCAGAGATCAAGGAGCAGACGTGACAGCGGCACAGCGACACCACACACGGAGCAGTCTGCTTTCTCCAGCAACACCAGTCCAGAACCAACAGCAGAATGACCCGCTCTGAATCAGGCCCTGTCGCTGCGGCTCAGAGACACACAGGGAGGGATTTGTGTTTTTTGAAAAACACTCGTTATCGTCATGTCAGGTTTTTGGTGGATTTAATCAAGTCTTGGATTGCAGAGTATGAATGTCCTCTTGCTATTTTCAGTTGATAAATACTGTACTTGTGTAAAGTTTGTGAAGGCAGGAGGAAAGCTTCCGCGATCACCGTCTCCTCTGTTCCTCCAAACTTCGCCCCCTCCCCTAATGGCTGATAGTGACCCGATAGAAACTTTATTATTCACTTAATCACTGATTGAGATATGATGAAGCTAACTTAGTCTCATACATTCATGGGATTTATGTAACAGTAAGACAGAGAATGTCAGTGTGCACCCACATGCACTGTTTTTGTTTTTATAATGCTGTTGTAAATACTCCTGTTGTCTGCTGTGTTCAGACTTAAGTCATGTGTGTGATGCCACATTCAAGACATTCAGTGTCCTTTTTAAACAGAAGACCATTGCTAGAAGCTGCAGCTAGACTGCAGAAGTTGAAAAAGATGAACGAATATGAATGAATGAATAATGCCAGCAGCGGCTGCTTTACGCACAGACGTAGCAGAAGCAGCCGCACAACCGCTCCAGCACAGCAGCAACGAACACAACACAGCGAAGCGACAACACAGCGAAGAGAGAACACAGCGAACAGAGAACACAGAGACAACAGCAGGCAACCCTGATTAGGAACTTCAGGAAAGGTATGTACTTTCTCTGTTTGTATCTATTAGTTGTGTATTTGGTGTAATCTATAGTAATTCCACACTCGCAAAATACAAAATGGACGCCGCTTTGTTGTTGTAGCGTTATCGTTCCGTGAGAAACTAAAACAATGGCAACATCATGTTGGTGAACGTATAAATAGATTAATTGTATTTCGTGACTATAACACGGCAGTATATAAATAAAGCTGTATTGTATATCAACCCAGTATATATATATATATATATATATATATATATATATATATATACTGTTATTCCACACACGCCAAATGGATGCTGTTTTGTAGTTCTACAGACATTGACTATTAGCAGATTATAAATAAAGCTGTATTGTATATCAGTCTATATATATATATATCTATATATATACTATAGCGTGTGTGAAATAACAGTATACATATATATGTATACTGTTATTTCACACACGCTAAATGGAGGAATTATTTCTGATTTGAGTTACATTTTTGAAAGAATAATCCAGTGAAGTAATCAAAGTAATTGTTTTTTCCACATTTGTTTTCACAGTGATGAAGACAAGTATTAAATGGCTTCTGGATCACAGCCATCAACATCTGCCTCATCCGAGCTACGACGTGCATCAGATCAGCATACAGTTGCCCCAGAGCCATCAACATCCAAGCTACGCCGCCGGACGTCTGCACCAGTACTAAATCAGCCTCCCTCTGCATCTTCTGATTCAGTGGACAGACTGTCAGGAGGAAAGTGAAACGGGCTGGTGTGTGGCAGACTAAGGTTGTTACCGTTCATGACGCTGTGGTGGACTACAACAGAAGCATGGGCTGCGTGGATGTGTCCGATGCTTTGATTGGGTACTACAGTGTTCACCACAAAACCATGAAATGGTACAAGACCTTTTTTTACCATTTTCTGGACATTGCAGTGGTGAACAGCTTCCTTCTCCACAAGGAGCTGCACAAGATGAGGGGTGACCCCGGCAGGACGAAGCCACACACCCAGAAGTCCTTCAGGGAGCAGCTTGCTGCAGACATGAGGGGTGAAGTCCCTGCAGCAGCACCACCACCACTACTCGTATGCATTCCCAAGTATTATGGGGAAGATGCCACCGCGCTCAGGAGGTGCTCTGATGCTGGCAACACAACGGTGAAGACCTATCTACTGCACTAAGTGCCTGGTGCCTCAATTCAAAAACACTAAACACATTCAGGTTGTGTACATTTTTTCTTTTTTGCCAGTATTTACAAAAAAAATGCTTGTGGTGTTATTTCGGTTTTAGTTTCGTTTTTTAGTGTTATTTTTGAAATAAATCTGCTCAAGACAAGAGACAAGTGTATCCTATGTTTCCTAATTGTTATTGTGTAAATAAACCTTCCTAGAAGTGTTAGTCGGGTGATAAACATGTAAGGGCTGTGGCAAAGTCCACACACAGACACACACACACAATTTACATACAAAACAAATGTAATTTAAAAATAATTTATTTTTTATTTTTTTTAAAACACTTGTATTTGGATGGAATGATTACCTGTAGTGATAATACAATTATTTTTACAGTATGGTACCTGAAAAAGGTCAAATGGCACTGATGGTATCCAAATGTGCCAAAATGTGCCCAAAGGTCAGTCCGCCTGGACTACTTTTAGCTAAACCTCTCTAAAAAGATCAAATTTAACTTGTTTTGCCTCAATCTTGATACAGGGTACTTATTATATGTTATACTTTGGATTCCTAAAGCTTTTAGTCTACTATCCCATCATTCAAGGGTAGTTTTCACTATAAGTAATGTTTTTTTTTTTAGGCGGGGGTAAGAATTTACCTTTTTTTTACTATGTTCCATCTGAATTTACTCTGACTGAGAAATATCTATATTGATTCTGACACTTCTACATCCAACTCACAGATGTAACCTTGCTTTGATAAAATAAATTATTCATATAACCCTTTTAGAAGTTAAGTTATAGTCATTTGTTTTGGGCATAGCATTTTTTAGCCTGAAACCTTAAAAACAGGCTCAGGGCTTAAGAGGTTAACACCACAAGCCACCTTCTAGTAAAGCAGCATCCCATCTAATTCCCAGGTGCCATACGATGACCTGCGCTACTTGTTCGGTGAGATCATGCACAGGGGTCACATCACAGATGATTAGGATCGCCGTCTGTGTCGCACCTACCTGGAGGAATTTATCAAGCCGGAGATGATGGAGGGAGAGCTGTAGCTTGCGCCTGTTTCTCAATCTCGAGGATACTGGCTTCCAAGCCAATATTTCAAGGATGCTACATCATCGAGTGCCGCCGAAGGACTGTTCCAATCTCCAGTATACTTGGAATTCCACCGAGGCCGCGTCCTTAGTTTGGGGGAAATTTCGAGGCTGCACATGGGTAGACTTCGCGTCCTTAAAATCCCCACAATGCTTTGCGCACGGACCAATTTCAAAGACCTTTGCGGAGAATGGCTGAACTGACGCAGCACACATTTAAATGTAAGTATGTAGTGGCGTAGAACATGTGTTGGTAAATATGTTACTTTGTTACATTTGTTATCACCAAAAATGTGTTCCGTGAAAGTAAAGCAAGTTCATAATTAGATAGACATCGTGAGGTATTTATTTTCGGTACAGTTTATGTTGAAACCGTTAGAGGGTGGCACACTTGTTAGCCTGTTCCATTCTTCTTCGTTTTCCGAAGCCGTGGCTTGGAAGTATACTTGCTTCGTTTCTGAAGGAAGTGACTTGGAAGTACGCGACTACCAAGCCAGCATCCTCGTGATTGAGAAACACCCATGGACTACCACAGCTACCACCAGGTAAGGAAATACTAGCTTTTCCAGGACAGGAGAATACAGATCAATCATTCAGGCTGCAAAATTGATAGAACAGATGAAGAAGTGTAAATTCTGAAAAATAAAAGATTAGATATAGAAAAACTATAATACAAGAACATAAAGACGGCACTCTGAGGGTCTCCTTGGGGCCACAAGGTTGGATCTTTGTGATCATCAGCAAGAGCAAAGAGGCTTCATATTGTTCAAATGTAATCACTATATTTCCACAGGGACTTGGCTTGGCAACTGGAAGGTCACCGGTTCAAGTCCGGGAAAGACCAAGTGCTACCGAGATGTCCCTGAGCCAGAACCAGAACTGAGCAGCAGGCGGTTAGAGAAATGAGAACTCCTCTCTGAGCGGTCATTTTAAAGAGACGTCCATTAATGATGACAGGAGGCACAGCAGCCAAATATATAAGTGGTCATGAACACTGTCACTACCCGATCTGCAGCTCTGCCCGATCTGCAGTGCGCATGTGCGAGTTGGTCCGCCATATTGGACAACTCCGGACGGCAACCCAAGTAGGACAACATTGACACAGTGGCTTTGGGCAAAGCTCAAAATAAAACGAGAGAGAGATGAGTTATTGTTATTACAACGTGACTTCACTATTATTTAACAACTCTTTTTATTGGGTTCTTTTATTTGGGGTTAAGTACATTGTCAGAATAAGTGAGCAATGAATTTAACTTCTGTTAGACAGCTATATGCCATACATTTTTGCATACATTCACAGTAAATATGTATTCAGTATGATAGCTGTCTAACAGAAGTTAAATCCATTTCTCACTTATTCTGACAATGTACTTAACCCCAAATAAAAGAACCCAATAAAAAGAGTTGTTAAATAATAGTGAAGTCACGTTGTAATAACAATAACTCATCTCTCTCTCGTTTTATTTTGAGCTTTGCCCAAAGCCACTGTGTCAATGTTGTCCTACTTGGGTTGCCGTCCGGAGTTGTCCAATATGGCAGACCAACTCGCACATGCGCACTGCAGATCGGGCAGAGCTGCAGATCGGGTAGTGACACTATCTGTCCATCAGACAGAGGTCTGATGGACAGATGTGTTCATGACCACTTATATATTTATATATTTACTTTGATTCATTGACAGAGACAATAACAGGCTACAGATGCTGACATATACACACACATATATATATATATATATATATATATATATATATATATATATATATATATATATATATATATTAATGCTGTCAAAATGATCGCGTTAACGGCGGTAATTAATTTTTTGAATTCATTGCGTTAAAATATTTAACGCATTTAACGTATGTGCAGAATGGCCCGCCCCATACATGCCACCAGTGGCAGCGCCAGGGTATGGCTGGGGTAGGCTACACCCATACCAAGAAATGGCTTAGCCCCACCATGAAAAATGATGTTAAAGTAAGCAAAATAAAGTCTGCCAACTCGCGCGGAGTAAATTGCACAGACAGCAGTTAGTAAGATTGATTTCAGTAGCCACTTGTCTGGAAATACCGAAGACCAGAAACGGTTTTGAAAACTTTTGTCACGTAGTGATCGTCTTCTCAATAGAACATCTTTGATCATGTCCTCTGGCCAATCAGAATCAAGATAACGGCGTGGTGTTGTTGCAGGAAGTCCCGATGGAGAATACTTTTGCTGTAGTACAGGGGTGCACATAACTGGTACGCAGGTTATGTGCGTAATCTGAAATGCGTACCGTCACTTGTGTCACAAAGCGCATTTGCGTACCGACGTACTTGTGAAGCTTTTCCAGAAGGCGGTTAGATCACCGGACGACAGAGTCGGTCTCCGTGTGCACAGACAGGGCTGCTGTTAACGTCGGTCTGTACAACGGAATTGTGCCAAAACTACGCCAACCGGCTGCGGAGGGAGACTCCCCCCCCCCCCCCTTCACTGGATAACTGTGCTGAAACAGCTGCTCACAACGTTCACACTCTGTGGTCACGAACAGAGATGGGGTCGTTACTAAAAAAAAGCAATATATTACACTACTTCGTTACTCTCTACATAAAGTAACTTGTTACTTTACTCGTTACTTTACTCGTTACTTTACTCGTTACTTTACTTGCAGGACCGGCCCGCCCCTCCCTGAAGGCAGATCACGCAGACTGCTAAAGTTTCAAATGTTCTCTTTAGTTCAGTTTCCATTGTCGCATAAGACTGATCCTGAATGTTTAATGTTTAATGTTTAAATGTTTTCCTATCATGACCATGTTATTTTGCCCAGTCTATCTCTGCTCACGCTGTTGCGTCGGTGTGTTCTCCTGCGTCTTGGCCATGTGTTGCACTGGAACCAGACACCGCAAAGACTTCAGCCGAGCACGTACGAACTGCGCATGCGTGAGTGGCAATAACTCTCCTTACCAGCAGGCGGCGGCGGTAGTGTGTATTCGTCATTCAAAACAGGCAACAACCGTAAAACAGAGAAGAAGAACAGACTACGTGATATAAACAAACAACAAATAGCTGTGCGTTAGCTTCACCTTAGCATGTGTTCTTTGCAGGTGTTTGTTGAGGTTTGATTATGACTGATTTTAGTAAGTAACGAAGTAACGCGTGTCGGGGCAATGTTAGTAACTGTAGTGTGATTACTGAATTATAAAAGTATATACTTTGTAACGCGTTACACCCAACTCTGGTCACGAAGTACTCCTGTCGACTTTCCTGAAGTACTCCCCCGTTGATAGAAATCAACACGTAATGAATTAAGACCCCACGGTTTGATGATTGATTAGGGTTGCCTGTCTTTCATTTTGACACGCAGAAAATATTATAATAAACATACATACTGT